CAGTGCTTCATAGTCTGCTTCATTGTTTGAGGCCTTGAACCCCAGACGAATGGATTGTTCTAGTATCTGTCCATCTGGAGATACCAGTACTACTCCTGCCTCCGCTCCTTGTCGGTTTGAACTCCCATCAACAAACAGTCGAAAGGAGTCGCCGATATAAATGCTGCAGGGCCTGAGTTTTTCTTCCTTCCTTTGTTCCTGTGCCCTCGGTTGGGCTCCTCTTTGCTCGTTTGAACATCGTTCATCTCGGCTCAACAGAGCCGGATGTACGATGGCTCCTGGTGTGAACTCGGCCACGAACTCGGCCAAAACTTGGCCTTTGATTGCTGTTCTGGGTCTGTATTCCAGGTCATACTGGCCCAAGGCCACTGCCCATCTAGCTATTCTGCCTGTCAGATCTCCTTGCTACAACAGGGACTTCAAAGGATGTTCAGTTAGCACCACAATTTTGTGGGCTTGAAAGTAATGGTTCAGCTTCTTTGAAGCCATTACTAAAGCCAACGTTAACTTCTCCAAGGGTAAATACCCAGTTTCTGCATCAGCCAGGGTTTTGCTTACATAGTAAACAGCCCTTTGTTCCCCTTTTTCTTCTCGGATTACCACTACACTTCCCGCATGTTCCGAAACTGCTAAGTACAGGAACAACTCCTCTCCAGGTTCTGGATTTGAGAGAACTGGAGCCATGGTCAAATACTTCTTCAAGTCGGCCAAGGCGACTTCGCACTCTTCTGTCCATAAGAAGTCTGTAGCCTTCTTCACTAAGCTGAAGAAGGGTTTGCATTTGTCAGAACTTTTGCTTATAAACCTATTTAGGGCTGCAGCCTTTCCAGTCAACATCTGTACTTGCTGCGCCGATGTTGGGCTTTTCAGTTTTAGGATGGCCTTGATCTGATCTGGGCTGGCCTCAATGCCTCTTTTGGTCACGAAGTATCCCAAGAACTTACCAGATCCAACTCCAAATGCACACTTCGATGCATTGAGTCGGAGTCGATATGTTTTTAGGATGTCAAAGACTGCCTTTAAGTCTTCCAGATGGTCCTTAGGTTCCCTGGTCTTCACGACCATGTCATCGATGTATACCTCCACTGTCCGGCCAATCTCTGTTAAGTTGCTCCTGCATTTTTCAACCCAAAAGGCATCACTCTGTAGCAATACAGCCCTTTTGGGGTGATAAACGCAGTCTTCTCCTCATCTGCGAGGTTCATGGCTATCTGATGGTACCCCATGTAGGCATCCAGGAAGTTCATCCTTCCATACCCTGAAGTGGCATCCACCAGTTGGTCAATCTTGGGTAATGGAAAACTGTCTTTGGGACAGGCCTTATTTAGGTTGGTAAAGTCCACGCAGACCCTCCATTTACCCTTCTTTTTCTTTACCACCACTGTATTTGATAGCCATGTTGGGTAATTTACCTCTCGAATGGCTCTGGCCTCCTGAAGTCTGTCTACTTCCTCTTCCACTGCCTCAAAATGCATCAACGTCGGCCTTCTTGCTCGTTGGATTACAGGTTTGGCCGATTTGTCTACGTTCAGTTTATGGCAAGTGACCTCGGGGTCAATGCCAGACATCTTGTAAGGCGTCCAGGCAAACACCTCAATGTTTGCTCTCAAGAACGCCTCCAGCTCTTTTTCCTCTTCCTCGGCTAAGCCCGAGCCGAGAAGGAAGAAGCGTTCTTCATCCCCCTACTGGACAAGGATTTTCTTCAGGGCTTCTTCACTCTTCTCGGCTGGCTCTTTGCCGACGTCATCTAGGACTCTACTATCTCTGGTTCTCGTATGCTGCAGGTGAATTTCATTGCTGCCATGGAGCAGTTCTTTGCCTGCAGCTGATCCCCTCTGACCTCCTCTATCCTATGCTCTGTTGGGAACTGCAATAGCTGATGCAATGTTGAGGGAACAACCCCCTTTGCATGCAGCCATGGCCTTCCCAAGATGGCATTGTAGGGGGAGGGTGTGTCGATTATGGTGAATTCTGTTTTTATCTTTTTGGTACCAGCCTGCACCTCCAAGCTTGCTACTCCCAGTGACCACGTGGGCGTTCCATTGAACCCAATTATTGTGCTGTTGGACTGCTCCATATTGTCTAGGTGAAGGCCAAACTCCTTGTAACACCTGACATACATGATATCACAAGAGCTGCCTTGGTCAATTAGGATGCGCTTCACTTGGCACTCCCCAACCTGGAGGGATACTACCAAGGCATTGTTGTGTGGATGTCGTACCATTTCCAGGTCGGCTTCAGTAAAGGACACTACTGGTCCCTGGCACCCCTCCGCCCGAGGTCTTTCCTGCCGGACTTGGTACACATGCTGCAAGTGCTTTACCTTTTGGGTCTCCCCTCGTATTTCGTTTTCGTTGACCTTCGAGTGAATTACATTAATTACCTGAGGTCCGCCTGCCTGCGGTTGCTGTGCTGGGAGAGGTGGAGTTGCTGGTGTCTGAGGCAGTCTTGCCTGCTCTTCCCTTGTCCTGGCCTCATCTACAAGGTCCCTTAAATGGCCTTGCCTTACCAGGTCTTCCAAGTGTGCCTTCAGGGCTTTGCAACCCTGAGTCAGATGCTCATCTTCATTGTGGTAAGCACAATGCTTACCAAGGCTTCTCCCCATAAACTCTCCTGGTACCCTTGCTGGTGCTCTGAAGTAGGGTTGGGTTCAGATTTTATCCAGGACTTTGTGAATTGGGATTCGGAATACAGTTGTGACTGCCTGTGCAGCCCTCAGTCCTATCTCTTGCTTGTTGGATCCGTTGTTACCTTGGCCTCGCCTCAGCAAGCCGTTTCCTTTCTCTTGCTTTGCCGCCTTAGTCCCTGGCGTGTCTTCCTCGGCTCTGGCATATTTCTCAATTCTAACCATGAGCTCCTCCATGTTTTTTGGCAATGTCTTTGCCAATGACTTTCGTAGTGGACAATCATCTTTTAGGCCGTTCTTGAAAGACACGACCGCTACCTCTTGGTTGCACTCGGGTATTCGGTTGAACACCTCATAATACCTTTTAGCGTAGGCCCTAAGGCCTTCATCTTCACTGATTCTCAGAGCCATCAGGGCGTCTACCTTTAATGGCTGTAGTTTGTTTGTCACGAACCTGGCCACGAACATCTCGGTCAGGCCTTCCCAGGTCTTCACAGTTCCTTTCGGCAATTTGTGAAACCAATCCGATGCGATTTCCCCGAAGGATGAGGGGAAAACCTTGCAAAGCAACGGCTCGTTCCCAGTGTACAATGCCATCGAGTTCAGGTATAAACCGACGTGAAAGTTAGGGTCCCACTTACCATCGTATATCTAGAACCTCGGCATACTGAATCTTTTCGGGGCCTCAACTTGTCTAACTCTACCGAGAATGGTGTTCTCGATTTAACTGGGGAAGTTACCTCGGCATGCTCTTGCTTCCTCTTGAGATAATCTCTCAAGTCCTCTTTGGTCCGTCCTGGAGCTCGGCTATCTCCTGATTTCAGTCTTTTAGGTGCATTATTTTCAGCTTCGTTTGTCACGAACCTGGCCACGAACATCTCGGTCAGGCCTTCCCAGGTCTTCACAGTTCCTTTCGGCAATTTGTGAAACCAATCCGATGCGATTTCCCCGAAGGATGAGGGGAAAACCTTGCAAAGCAACGGCTCGTTCCCAGTGTACAATGCCATCGAGTTCAGGTATAAACCGACGTGAAAGTTGGGGTCCGACTTACCATCGTATATCTGGAACCTTGGCATACTGAATCTTTTTGGGGCCTCAAATTTGTCCAACTCTATCGAGAACGGTGTTCTCGGCTTAACCGAAGAATTAACCTCGGCATCTTTCCGCTTCCTTTGGAGGTAATCCCTCAGATCTTCCTTTGTCTGTCCAGGAGCTCGGCTATCTCTGGATTTCAGCTTTTTCGGTGCACTACTGTATGTGTCATTGTGAGTCCTCTTGGACCTTTCTTCATTAGTTGTAAGAATTTATGTATTATTGATTGATGTATTGATGTTATATTATTGATTGATATCTATTTGTATACAATGACTCTCCTATATATAGAAGAGAAAAACATATTCACCTACCACACTCAACTCTCACCTAACATTATGAAATTGACCACTGTTTGTAGGTCTGCCAATTTGTTCGCCATTGCCTTTACCTCATCGTCCCTCCGCAGGCATCTTTCTTTCTATACCTGGAGGTCGTCCTCGTTGTAGTACCTGTTTCGGCCTGTTTTCTTTGGTATGTCGCCTTCCTGGCCGACGTCCTTTCCTTCGTGATTCTTATCGTGAGTCTCTCTGTTGCAGTTGTCTCCTTCGACGTCAAGGTCTACAGGTTTTCCACTCCGAGTAGGGGTGTCGTTCCCAACCTTCTCTTTCTGTCCATCGTTGCCCATTTATTCTCCTTTCTTTCCCACATACGGTGCCAAATTGTGGGTGCCAATTTTCGACCACACTGCCAAATTAGTACTTAGCTGGAGAGCACCGGCAGAATAGATTAAGCCTGAACGACCTGCAACAGAAAGAAGAGATTCTGGCGGTGGTTCGTCCACCTGGGGACACTCCGACGATCAAGTCAGTTATCTCTCAAAGATAGCAAAAATGCTTAACTCATTATTCAAAATATAAATTGCGTACCTTAGACCTATGGGGGTGCCTCTCTTTTATAGCCAATATAATCTTAGTCCCAATAGAAGCCTAACTCCAATGGATTTAGGATTACTGCTAATCTTGGACTCCCAGTAGGATTCGGATAAACTCTATAAGAGTCTTATCTTTACCCAAATTGAAGTCTTCTCCCATTATAGGACTCTTGTCCCTTATCCCGGATTCCGGTATTCTCGCTGATAACCTCGGCCTAGCCGAGATCATCTTAGCATCATGACCAGGACACATGGCACCCTGGCTGGCACTTCGGTGACATCTCGGCCACGTGTTGTCATTCAAAATTTATGTCCCCACATATATCATTATGGAGATATTGACTGTTCAGTGCTCATGAATAAGTTTATGTGGTTGCTAACTTTATTATCTTTAATGTCTATTGAAAGACACGAGCTGATGAAGTACTGATGGACCTTGGACTGGGGAGGAAACAACCATGTGTCTCAATTATTCTCCATCATCTACTCAAGGAGCTACCTTCTGAACTGGTCGGTTCTAATGCCTTGGAGATTCTTCAACTCATTGAATGCAGCAAGGATTATTCCTTTGATCAGGTATTATTATATAGGATCCATGTGCTCTAGCACATTCATAGTAGTTCTATAGCTTGCATTGCACTTTATTGACTCTGATTTGTACTTATAAGCAGTTTAACTTATACAATATGCAGTGTTTAAATTACAGGTTGCTTGGCTTCAGGCTTTCTGAAAGATCTCAACTGGACATAATCAATGCAGTAGTAGATAAAATTATTCAGGTCTTCAGAATTTTTAGTTCTTGTTTGCTTTATGCACTGAATTTTTAGTTCTTCCTTGAGTGTTTTTGATGGGATTCATAGTCTTTCCTTATGCAGATCCTAGATTTAATTCTGTGTGGTTTGATTTTCTGTTTCTGTTGATGCTGTTGAAAATTCTTGCTGTCTCATTCACGTCCTTTATGAGTTTTTATTCTTTAATTTTTTTGTGGGGCACTTTTGGTGTTTGCGGTTGGAGACGTGACACATAATAGCCATTTTCTACATGGCATGGGAGGGAGTTGTCACTTGTTGTGCATATGCTTGAGCATTGCACATATCTGTTGTGGATCTTCTATATACTAGCAACATATACACGCATTGCTGCATTTTGTATAATCTGATAGATACTGGATAAGCTACATTTTTCTTAAGACTATTATCATATGTTACCAGAAAATGCTAATACGCTAGCAATTTATGTATTTGTACGCACGTTCTGAAACATGATATACTTTCATTCCAAAATGGTAAATTTAGTGATCGAATGCGTTCCGAGAAGTTTTTTCTAATATATTTCTTTAAATGTTACCTTAGGAGAAAAAAATCAAATATATAAATTAAAATCTAAGGTGAGTTATGTTTTGACAAGATAAAACACAACACAACAAAAATGAGTCATAATTTTCATAGAAATGATTTGCTACATGAAATAAAAAAAAATAAAAAAAAATAGATACCTAATAGTTAAAAGAAAATTACTTTAGAAGTACCTTAAATTCCTAAGTATAATATATCTAAGTCTACTCTTATCGTACCACATTTTAAAACATGTAGCGTACTAAATTCCCGTTCCCGTTCCATACCGGAACTATCCACGTTCTAGGTAACATATAATTATATATATTAAACAAAATTTATGTGATCTAGAATACGGCTGGCTGAACTGCACACTAGAATCTGTACTTATAAAAATTGAAAAAAGAGAAAGTATAGGGCTAATCTTTAACTGTTTTATGGGATCTTCATGTTAGTAGGCTATCTATTTAAGTTGATCATTAATAGTCCCAGATTTTTGACTCCCTAATTTTAATATTACCAACTGGGGACAGACACAGGACACAGATTTTGGAAAAAATTAGAATATGGACATGACGGGGAAATGGAATTTTATTATTATTTGCTATGTATATTAATAGATTTAGTTACAACACAGAAATATAAGAGACATAGATGTATATATCGGTGCATTTCTATTTTTTCTGCATTTTCGTCTCTTTGTTTCCATGTATTTTACTTTAATCCCAAATCATCTTTCTAAAATTACAAAAAAAAAAAAAAAAAAAAAAAATCCCCACAAAAAAAAAAAAAAAAAAAAAAAACCACGAATGTGTTCCGAGGCATATCCAAACACTGGACACGTGTGTCAGTGAAGTGTCCCTAAGGTGTCCTGCAAAAAAAATAGTAGTTAAAAAAAATTCACACTCCACTTGCATTTCTGACAAGTATCTGTGCTTCCTAGCACATCCTAGTTTCTACTAGACCATCCTTGCACATGTTGAATCTTGAAAAATTCAGAAATTGACCTTTGCTTTGTATTTTTTTATTTTTTTCCTTTAAATTCTTTGCGTGCATGGTACTCAATATTTATTTTTACTGTGATATGGTGGTTATCTGGCCAGTAAAAGTATATCTTATAATTATTTCCTCATTTGACATCTTGGGACGTATTTATAATGGTAGAGTATTAATTAAGTTTATTTGATAAGTGTGCCTCAAATTTGTGTGATTCTTGAAGAAAGTTTCTTAGATGTTTCAAAATAAAAATTTCAGGTTGTGTCTGCATACAGTAACCTTGATGAGTACTTGAAGGTTATCGATGCTTATGTGGATATTGTTCTTCAGAATCAGATGGTAAGTTGAGTGCCTAGGCTTGCTGAATTGCTGGGGTGTAACTGCAACTTATGTTGTTGCTGATTTCTTTTTTTATCCTAAGATGTGAATCTGGTCCTATGACATTTGTTACAATGAACAAGGAGATCTTTACTATCTTTGCTAGCACCCAAGGCCTTTGCAGATGCATACATAGTTGTCAAACAATGTATTCAATGAAGTTTCTAATGTTGCTTTAGTAGCAGGAAAAAACATATAGACAACTTCAGCACAATATAGTACAAGGGTGAAATCTCCACATAATGCACAAGTAGTGACTCTATAGTTTCGTAAAAGTAGCTTACTTTTTGGGCTTGGGTTAGGCTGCCAGTCACATATACGTTTAACAACTATAAGCTTTTGTCCATTTTAAAGTGAATACTTAGAAAAGCTACAAATTCTACCTTGTGGCTTTGTTAGAATATATCAAACTGAATTACTTTATCAAAATTTTCCAAAGTTTTGGATGTAAGTTTCCCCATCTGATCTCCAAAGTGACACAGAGTCCTGGAGCATTTGTTGCTTCTGTCTTATTAATATCATCATAAGTTCTGTTTAACTCATTCCTTAAACCAGGGTTGCTTACAGCTTGGCAGGAAATCACCTGTAATAAGAACTTCAATGTTCTTTTTCTTTAAGCAGCTCTCTTGGTTTCTTTTGAGTATGAATGCCAGAAACAATATGAATTATGTGACTAAAAAATCATCAATTGCTTTTTCCTTCTTGAAAATTTCAGTTCACTGCGCAGGTAAGAAATGTTCTAGAAAAAAAAAGAATAGTTTAAATGAGGAGGTTGGGGACCTATAATGGCGAGTAGAAAGGATGTAATGGCAAATTAATGCTTTTGTGAGAGTTGGATGTTGCATTAAGGATTTTGCTTCATCTTGTGTTCACGTGCAATATTGTGAACAGGACCATTTCTAGTCTGAAGTCTGCAAACTGTTAGATATACCATTTTTTTTTTTTGGGGTCTCCTAAATGAATTAATTAAATGACAGGATAATCATTTGCATGTTATATTGGATGGTATTGCAAAGCGAGCATGTAATGAAGGGATTGCTGAAATTGAATTGACCAGCTTGCAATCAATTTTTTTAAAGCTTCTTGCTCATTTCAACAACTTAGAAGACATATTTTCCCTGGTAGGATTATTCAACTTTTTGTTGTTCATTATAGCGTTATCTTAAAAATCTAATTTCTATTTGCTAATTATCTGTTATCTGTTTGTAAGTTTCATGGTTGTATAATTTAGAAACATAATATAGTACTAAACAAGACTGCTAAAGGCAATTTATATCAATTATTTTGCAGACCCATTTCATTGAGATCTTAGATATGATGCATGGGAGCTCAAGAAGCATGGTCAATATGCACATTCTTAATATAGCGACAAGGTATGTCTCTTAGTTTAATGACTTTGTGTTACATCCTAATTGGTGTAGGCATCACTTCAGCATTTCTGTGCCTTCCCTTCCTACCCTTGACCTGCATTGATACCTTAGTGTCGCCTGGCATTACTGAAACACGTGTGCTTAGGTCATATGAGTGCAGTTGTAGCTACCCATCAGTGTGGCTTTAGGGACACATGGGCAACTGAGCACTTGAGGCCTGGTCAATCATATATTTCTTGAATTGATTTAGTCTCTAATGACTATCATTGTACTTGTGAGTAATGACAAATGAAGCTTCTGGCCAGTCCCACAATATTGGTGGTCCTTGTGAAGGACATTGTGTGTGTCAGAATCTACAAAATTGGATGTTCCATGCCTAATGATTTCGGACATCTGTTGGCACTAGTGAAGTATTTGTACTTGTTTTGTAATGAAATGCTTGATTCTTGAATTAAATCATACTTTCTATTATCTGTGGACTCGTCATCTGCTGGTTCAATATCCTATATGCTATAAGCTCTATGTTTACTCCCACATAAGATGTTCATTATGAATGTGTATGATCCTTGGTTCATTTTATTGCTTTGAGTTATCCAATATTTTCTTTGTTGCAACACTTTGCTTTAAAAAAAGAAAATGCTTTATAACTTATAGGTGAAAAGGAGAAACTAAGTAGTATGCAGTGAGTTGGTGACAATCAATATTGGACCATGTTACTTGAAATATTAAATAAGGCGTCTTGTATTTTGCTTTCTGTGATATATCTCATTATTTCCTTTTGGTGGGTATGAGAACTGGAGACATTATGAAAGAAAACAGTTTGTGCAATCCTCTTTTTATGTATGTATATATATATTTCTTATGGTGCTAATAGATCATATTGTTGCTGCTGTCACCTAGCCATGCCTTGGCTAGGCAGGCTTTGCCATCTATTCCTTTCTAGTTGCCTCTGTTTACTTAGCTAACTTAAACAGTATTTTGACCAATTATTGAGCTTTGTTGGAGCTGTTATACTCACTTAAAACCAACTAGGAATAATTTAATTTTATAACATTATTGATAGATCTTTTAGTAGCTGGTAGGAGTTCAACAAATATTGGAAGCCATATCCTTGATTATATACATCTAGATAATTTCTGGTCTGCAAATTTTCCTACAATAAATAACTCGAGCCATTTTTTGCTCTGGAAGTATAATGAAGCAGTAATTATTATCTTTGGCTATTTTAACGAGCAGGAATAGATGCATTTGTGATCCTACAATCATACAGTTTATTTTTGAAGTTTCTCAGTCTCTGCACGATGGTATAGATTACTCAAATATGAGAGATGATGATAATCAACAACGTGCTCGCTTGATATCTCGTTTTGTAAATATGGTAACTTATTTCAACTGCCACAATGTATTTTTTTTTTCTTTTTTTTTTGCAACTGCAACTTGTTATTTGGTTTTTTTTTATAAGATTTTTTTTTTGTATATCTTGGAGTTGAGTTCTATAGTAATGAATTAGATTGATGCTGTTAGGTTGACTATGGGATGGAGGTGGAACGCCAATTGGCATTTTTAGTTGAATGCCGTGGAGCTTTTCGTAGCATAAACGAACTTAAGGTTAGTATTAAACCATAATTTTCAAACATATACAAGAATAGTGTATGATGAATATACAAGAATAGTGTACTATGCCAAAGGTTAGGTGTGTAACCAATCTTTACCCTCTCAAACACACATTAATGTGTACTATTTGGACTCTTTTTTTTTTTTGAAAATTTTTATACAAGAATAGTTTGCAGTGAGATTGATTTTAATTCTTACAATTGTTTATTCTTATATTTAACCTACAGAAGTACATGTCGCAATTGTTGAAAGTTAGCATCTTCTGTAGTTTGTTACAATCGTTTTGGTTGTACTAAAACATAAATAGTTTGTGATATCACTTCTTATTTTTTTATTTTTTATTTTAAAATAGCAACAAAATCGAAGTATCGAACAAGATAAGAATAGAGAAGGAGAAGTACAAGGAGATATAACAACTAAAAAGGGTTGTTTGATTTGCACTTTATCTAAGATTATGTAGAGAGAGAGATGTTGAACATGAAGACGTACAAAGATCGTGTGCTGGATCTGAAGATTGAGCAAAAGATAATCATTGTTCAGGTCGATGAGAGATCTCACGGAGAGGTTGTGGAAATCATTGAAAGGAATAGGCATAGAAGTTTCACACTGAAGATTGATCTGGGAGGGGTTTTCTGGGCATCGCAGGTCCTTCAAGATGTTGGTACTACGAATGCGGTGGGGCAGTTCTTCAGGAAGTATACGAACAGTTCTGCTGTCTTCTGTTTTCAGAGTTATTCTAATAGGAGTGGAGAATTCGTGGAGTTATCCAAGTGGGTTGCTGGGATAAGAAGATCAAACATTATCATTCCAGCAGGGGTCAATCGACAAGGGTGGAAAGATGTGGCTGGGTTACTTGATACAATCCTATTTGGAAATAGGCAGAAGAACCACGTGAGAGGTACTGAAGGAAAGGATGCAGGAAAACAGATAAGACATTTGACCATGGCAAATGTTCTTAACGATGATGTTCAGCAGAATGGGGTAAGTAAGGAGGTAAATACAGAGGACTTGAGTCATCAAGAGTAAACATGGGTGAACAGAGGTAGGTCGTACGCGGAGGTTCTTAAGCATCAATCACCATTTTCAGTATCACATGATTCTTCATTAGTTCTCCATCATGCCGTGGTGTGTGAGAGAACAGATTTTTTCATATCTTGGGAGCAAATAGAGAAGGTATTATGTAAGTCTTTCAAATTATCTATCAAGCTTCGTCCCTTTCAGTTGAATCGAGCTTTGTTCTTCACCAAAACCAAGGAGATGGCTATGTTCTACGGGGATAAAGGTTTGCAATTTTTTGATAAAGGTATTGCAGTAATATTGGAGAGGTGGTCTGATGAGAAGTATAGAAAATCTAATGTTATTGCCTCGTATGGAGGATGGGTTGCAATTTGTGACTTGCCGTTTAAATTATGGAATATAAGGATTTTTGAACAAATTCGTGCGAAATGTGGAGGGCTATTAGCAGTGGACAAAAGAACCAAGACTTTTGAAAATCTTTTTGAGGCAAGATTAAAGGTGAAAGGATCGACTTCTGGGTTTTTACCATCAACTGTGGAGATTGCGACGGATGACGGAGTAATCATAGTGCGTGTGAAGTCGCTTTCGAAAGCCGTTAAACGCAGAGACGGCCATCGGCAATGGAGTTTCCGGCATGGACTTTCATCGGAGCTTGGGGTCGGAGGTAGGGAAGATGATAAGGTTGAGGGGACAGCGGGGACACGTGGCTGCCTGGTTCCCAAGGAAGTTGGGGATCACGAAGAGGATCGTATTTTCGAATCAAGGAATGTCAACGATGAGGGAAGGTCAAGGGGCGATATAGTTTGTATCAAACATGGGCGATATAGATTAGGAGAGGATTCTTTAGAAGGAGATGGGCTGATGGGTGATATTGGGCCTAGGCCAGTTTTGGGCCTCCCTCATGAATCAAATAAAAAACAGATTGGTGGTGATGAGGGTATTAACCTGGGCTCAAATTGCAATCATAATTTGGGCCAAGTTTCTAACCATGTGGGAGATGGTACATTGGGCCATAAAAGTCATACTCATATCCTGAGGTGTGATGGGCTTAACCCAGATCACTTGGGTAATTTTGTCCCAGGTTCGAAGCAAGGGCTTTGTCGGGTTAGGCAGACGATGGGTATCTCCGATGGTGAGAACGACAGGACCCAAACAACGAATCAGAGGGGAGATGGGTCATATGGTAGCGATAGTCGGAAATTGCAGGGTGTGGAGTTTGCGACTCGTAACATCAGTATGGAGCATGGGATTGATCAATGAGTTTTAAATCAACAGGATGGGTTAAACCCAAATGAAATTCACTTGGGCTTGGCGGATGTGGTTAATCGATCGACAGGGCAATTCCTCCAGATTGGGCGGCCCATTGGAGTTGATGGAGTGGACGAAGCTGATAATGATGATGCACTTGAAATTTTTCCTGATGTTGATCGAATGATTAACGAAGTGGATGTGGGTATTTGTGATCCACAAGGGGTGCTCCAAGCATTGGAAGGTTATGGTTCACATGAAAGCTCTGATGAATCTCTGGGCCCCAATGAGGAAGTCGCTGCTTGTACCGAGGAGGAGAGGGTTGATGATTTTGATCCGAATCTCAATCGGCTTTTCCATGAAGAGGAGGTTCCATTTCCATCTTGTAATCAGCACACTGTGGGGACTAAGGGTGAGGTAGTCTTTGACTCTGGTGAAAAGGTTTGTGATTCTTTTGACAGGGACGACATGAATTCTTCACCTCCTTCTTATATTCAGGGTATTCATTCTGTGTCTGTCAGGGGAGGGGTGGTGGGGGAGTCATCATTGGGTATAATGGTTTCTAACAAGAATGATAATTGGCCTCTGTTAAATACAAATAGAAACTCTACCAGTGGCAGTTTGAATCCACAGGCGAGTAACATGGACGGAATTCTGATTATGTGGGATGAAAGAGTTGTATCAGAGTGTGAGGTAGTGGCTGCGGTATTTTCATTGTCTATTAAATTCAGGAATAGGGATAATAAGGAATGGTGGCTGACAGGGGTTTATGGTCTTAATAAACCCGGGAGTCGGCAGGAATGGTGGGATGAGTTAGCAGGATTATTAGGGCTTTGTTCCCCTAATTGGTGTGTGGGTGGGGATTTCAATGTGGTTAGGCTCGCTTCGGAAAAACTCAATGGGGTTTCCACCAGTAGGAGTATGAGGGATTTCGATTCTTTTATAAGGGATTGTGAGTTGATTGATCTTCCCTTGAGTAATGCACGATTCACCTGGTCTAACCTTCAGGAAAATCGGGTGTGTTACAGGTTGGATAGGTTTCTTCATACTTTAGGATGGGAGGAGTTATTTCCGGACATAAGGCAAGAGGTTGGGCCAAGAGTTGTGTCAGATCATTGTCCTGTGATTCTTGAGAGTTGTCCTTTTAAATGGGGTCCCACCCCATTCAGGTTCAAGAATATGTAGTTGGAAAATCGATCTTTTAAGGAGTTCTTTAAGGATTGGTGGGAAAATGGTAGAGTCCATGGGTGGGAGGGCTTTAAGTTTATGCGAAAGTTGAGAGGAGTTAAGGATAATTTAAAAGTTTGGAAACGAGAAGTTTTTGGGGATATAGGTGCGATGAAAGCGGGTTTTATTTGAGATATTGAGGAATTAGATGTGAAGGAGGCCGGGAAGGGTTTATCTGGAGTGTTAAGGGATAGGCGGTCAATGCTCAAAGTGAAGCTGGAAGAGAATGTTTTTAGGGAGCAGATTTTTTGGGGTCAGAGAGCTAAGTTGAAATGGGCTAGAGAGGGTGATACCAATTCTAGATTTTATCATAGAGTTGCGTCGGGAAAGAGAAAGAAGAGTTTTATAAAAAACTTGGTAGTGGCTCAGAATGAGGTTGTGTGTAAGGAGGAGCTTATTGTCAATGAGATTTTTAATTTTTATTCAAATTTATATTCTGATAGGGGTGTGGATCGTCCAGGGATTGTTGGCATTAATTGGGCTCCAGTGGAGTTAGTGACGGCTGATTGGCTTGAAAGGCCTTTTGAGGAGGATGAGATAAAACAGGCTATATTTGAGTGTGAGAGAGATAAGGCTCTAGGTCCGGATGGTTTTTCAATGGCTATATTTCAAGATTGTTGGGATATTGTAAAAAGTGATCTCTTTAGAGTGTTTGGTGAGTTCTTTGAGAATGGGAAGGTTAATTTGTGTACCAACGCATCCTTTATCTGTCTAATTCCCATGACGGAGGGGTCGGTCAAGATTGGGGATTTTAGACCCATTAGCTTGGTTACTTCTCTCTATAAGATTTTAGAAAAGGTGCTTTCTAGGAGACTTAGAGTTGTCCTTGGGGAAACTATTTCCTTGGCACAAGGTGCGTTCGTGCAGGGTTGGCAGATATTGGATGTAGTTTTAGTGGCTAATGAGGTTGTGGAGGAGTATAGGGGGCTACGTAAAGAAGGTGTTGTATTCAAGGTAGACTTCGAAAAGGCATATGACCATGTTGATTGAGGCTTTGTGGATTTTGTTTTGGAAAGGAAGGGGTTTGGAGTTAGGTGGAGATTGTGGATTTGGGGGTGCTTGTCGTCATGTAATATGTCGGTCATTGTGAACGGTAAAGCTGGGGATTCTTTTCTGGCATCTAGGGGTCTAAGACAGGGTGATCCTTTATCACCCTTTCTGTTTATTTTGGTTGCTGATGTGTTAGGTAGGATTATTGATTTAGCTAAGGATAAGGGTGTCATTGAGGGGTTTGTGGTGGGCTATGAAGTACGGATACTTCAAAAAGGGTGACGTATCTGTATCAGATACTTATCGGATACCGATACTTTTCGGATACTCGCGGATACGTATCGGATACTTCTTAAAAGTATCGGATACTTCTTAATTAATTTTTTATTAATTTTGAAGTATCGGATACTTAATTTTGAAGTATCGGATACTCGAAGTTACATATTACTTATAATACTTTGTTTAGTTCTTTGATAAGAGGAATATAGTGAGAGTTAAAGTAATAGAATTTGTCAAATTGATGTATCCTTGTTGTCTCTCTCACTTCTCTCTCGCTTTCTCACTCTCTCACGTTTCTTCTCTCTGCTCTCATTCTTTTTTTGATGTTGGCATGTAAGGATGATGTTTAATTTGCATTTGCTTTTGCTTTTAGTTTTGGATGTTTTATGAATGTTTGAGCACTTTTAGGTTAAATAGGAATCCCTCTCTTTATTTATTAATTTACTTTAAGTTTTATTTTCATACATATTACATTATTAAAAGAGTACTGCTATTAGCACCTGCCAAAATTCTTTGGACCCCCCCATTTTATAATTTTTTTTTATTACAATTATATCCTAAAGTAAAATTACATTAAAAGACATTATGAAATGGAACACCCACCTATCAATAATAACTAATACTCTGTAATATTGGACACCCACCCACACTTCCACCCCCACCTCCAACTCCAACTATACGTATTCCATGTTTGTAAATCCTAAACCTATTACTTTTCATAACCAATTAACATAAACCCTAAATTTATTATTTTTCATAATCATCTTAAATCCTAAATGTGTCATCTTCATCACCATCATCAACGCTATTGAACTTGAAAGTTTTGCTTCAAGTATAACGTATACTTCATCACTTATTTCACTGTGTAGAGCAATGGAGGACGAGGACAACATTCTCGGTCGTTTATCTGTCTTGTATTAACATTCTCGGTCGTTTTCGGTCGTTCTTGTTTCGTTCGAGTTGTTCGGTACTGGTTTGCTGACTGTTAGAATTATATTCGGTAATATAGTACTGAACATAATCCTTTCGTTCAATACATATGTTCCGAACATTAATATGTAGATAGTCAGTTATGTAATTTTTTTTGTTAAATTACCTTAGAATGGAAAAGAGTGAATTGGAATGGATTTAATAACCAATTAACATAAACCCTAAATTTATTATTTTTCATAATCATCTTAAATCCAAAATGTGTCATCTTCATCACCATCATCAACGCTATTGAACTTGGAAGTTTTGCCTCAAGTATAACGTATACTTCATCACTTATTTCACTGTGTAAAGCAATGGAGGACGATGACAACATTCTCGGTCGTTTATCTGTCTTGTATTAACATTCTCGGTCGTTTTCGGTCGTTTTCGGTCATTCTTGTTTCGTTCGAGCTGTTCGGTACTGGTTTGCTGACTGTTACAATTATGTTCGGTAACACAGTAGTGAACATAATCCTTTCGTTCAATACATAAGTTCCGAACATTAATGCAGATAGTCAGTTATGTAATTTTCTTTGTTAAACTAACTTAGAATGGAAAAGAGTGAATTGGAATGGATTTAAGTTATGTATTTTGAATGGATTTAATTCATGTTATTTAAGTTGTGAATTGGAATGGATTCAAGTTATACAGTGATGAACAAATTTTGTTCGGACATACAGTGCTGACAGGATCATTATTGTTCGACAAAACAGTTCTGAACAAAATATATTTTTTCGGCTACACAGTGATGAACAAATTGTTTTGGGCTACATTCAGAATTCTGATGGCGATTCAGACGATGATTCTGTTTTTCCTCATCTTGCAAACGGTTATGCAAATCCTGTAGAAATTAGAGTATCTTTGATCGATCTCTGAAAATATGGAGATTAGTTTTCTATTCTGAAAATATTATGGAAATATTATGGAGATTAGTTTTCCATATATATACATTGTTTTCTATTCCTACAATTCGCATCAATCTTCACTTTCTCATCTGAATTTCCCAATCAATGGCAAATTCCAAAGAGACCCACGTCGTCGAAATCCTAATCGACGAAGAACACCAACCTCACAAATAAATGCATTGTGTTTTTAGGAACCACTTTTTAGATGTGGTTAATATTGGAGAGAGAAGAGAGAAAAAACTAGGGTTTTGAAGGGGTTTTGAGAGAGAGAAAGAGAAAAGAGAGAGAAGAGAGAGAAAAATCTTCACTTTTTCATATGAACAAAAGTGGTTTTGAGAGAGTGAGAGAAAAGAGAGAGAAGAGACATCACTGATGAGGAGAGAGAGAGAGAGAGAAGAGAGGGAATTGGAATGGATTCAGGTGGGTGTGCATTTCATTGTGAATATGGGTAGATTTGGTAATAAGTGGGGTGTCCAAAAAAATATTATTAAAATTTAAAGTTTAGGGTTGGGGTCCAAAGAAATGGGGGGTCCAAAGAATTTTGGTAAGTGCTAATAGCAGCACTCTATTAAAATTATAATTTTTTTTTTTTTTACGAATGTATCCCCGCTGTACCCGTATCATACTTTTTCAAGTTTTGACATATCGCCATATCCACATCCCCATATTACCATATCCGTATCCGTGCTTCCTAGGCTATCATTGATGACTTAAAAAAGTATATTCGCTGAAATTTTTATTTAAGAATGGTTTTTTGGCTTTAGCTAAGGTCTTGTGATATTCGCTGATGAAGGGAAACAACTTGAACCTATTGACCTTGAAGACTCTTAGTTTTATAAGAATCTTTCTTCTTTATCAAGTTGTCTTTTGCTTTAGGTTTTATTTTCATGCATACTGCATTACTAAAAATTGTTAAAATAATATTTTTTACGAACGTATCCCCGCCATACCCGTATCCTAGTTTTTCAAATTTTGTCGTATCGTCGTATCCGTATCGTGTCGTATATGTATCCCGTATCTGTATCCGTGCTTCCTAGGTGGTGGGCAGGGATAGGATTGGAGTTACTCATTTACAATTTGCAGATGATACTATATTCTTCTCATCAAAGGAGGAAAATAAAGTGGGGTGTTTACTACAGATTTTGAGAATTTTTGAAATTGTGTCGGGCCTTAAGGTCAATCTTAACAAGAGCAGTGTTGTGGGTATTAATTTGGATGATAGTTATGTGCATAGGGTAGCGGATATGTTGGGATGTTCTATTGAGTCCTTTCCTATCAAATACTTAGGGCTTTCATTAGGAGGAGATCCTAGATTGGCGTTCTTTTGGGAACCTGTTCTTGTCAAAATTGGGAAAAGATTGAAGGGTTGGAAGTGAGCTTTGTTGGCTAAGGGGGGAAGATATATTTTGGTACAATCTGTATTAGGATCTGTTCTTATCTATTTCCTATCTATTTTCAAAATCCCGATTAGCATTGCAAGGAAAATTAAGAAATTGATGAGAGACTTTCTTTGGGAAGGGTGTGAAGAGGGCAAAGGGGTTCATTTGGTTAGGTGGGATACGGTTTCTCTTCCTAAGGACAAGGGTGGATTAGCTATTGGAAACATCATTGCTAGGAATATTGCTCTTTTGGGCAAGTGGTTGTGGAGATTTTCGATTGAAAGTGATTCGCTATGGTGTTCAGTTATTAAAAGCAAGTATTGAGTTCAACCCAATGGTAGAGATTCTAATGTGGTTAATAGAGGCAATTGCCGTTCACTGTGGAAATCCATTTCTCGTTTGTATCCTCTTGTGTCTAACTACTTTTCGTTGAGAGTGGGGAATGGGGTGAACATTCGCTTTTGGGAGGATGTTTGGTTAGGATCTTTTCCCTTTCTTTACCGGTTGGTTCGTTCTTCAAATGTTTCGATAGCGTCGGTGGCTTGCTCTTCTATGGCACCCATCTCTTGGAATTTTGATTTCATTAGAAACTTGAATGATAGGGAGGTGAGGGAGTTGGCATCTTTGTTGGTAGTGCTTGAGGGGGTCTCTCTTTCTTCATCTTGTGATCTTAGGGTGTGGAATCTGGGTTCTTCAGGTGTCTTTTCATGTAAATCCTTTTTTGATAAGCTCATTGATAATCCCTCTATTTTCTTGTTTCCTTATCATAAGAAAGTTTGGAAAGTGGATGTCCCTCATAAAGTGAAGTTTTTTATGTGGTTTTTGGCTCAAAAGGGTGTAACAACTAATGATGTTTTCCAAAGGAGAAGGCCTAATCACTCTCTTTGTCCTCAATGGTGTGTGATGTGCAAGAGGAACTTGGAGGAAGTGGATCATCTATTTCTTCATTGCCCGGTGGCTCGTGTATTATGGCAGCGGCTGTTTGGTTTATGTGATCAGCAGTGGGTTGCTCCGCGGGACTGTATTCAAATGATTCTTATTCGATTTATAGGGTTTGGGAGAACCAAGAGAGCCAAAACAATGTGGACATGCATTGTTTTTGCTATCTTTTGGGCCATATGGTTGGAGAGAAATGCTAGAATCTTTGATGGCAAGGAAGCAAGTGTAGAGGCTTTGTGGGATAGGGTGAATTATTTGACGTCTTTTTGGGCATTTGTATCCCCTCCTTTTGAAGGAGTTCCCTTGTTCTTGATCTCTAGGGATTGGGTTGCTGTTTGCCTTCCCTAGGGCTATGATTTTTTTGTTTTTGTTTCGCTCTTTTTCTTTTTCTCTTTGTATGAGGACTCCTTGTCCTCTTTCTCATTTTATTTTTAATAAAATTTTGTTGTTGCTAAAAAAATATATATATATATATCATTTCTTATTTTTTGGTGATACCACTTACCTATGCACATTCTTACCTTTCTTCACAGAAAGCCAAACAGTTAGCCCTTCTGTCAAGTAATGGTTATTATATTGGAAGACTATACAAGAGGCGTTTTGAACTTATGATGCATATAAAATGGTTTTGAAGATCTTCAGAGCTTACTGCTTATATTTTTTCCCCCACAAGCCTATGTTAAGGGTTCTATTCTACTCGCAGGAAACTCTTGTTCACTCCAGCAATTGCTTAGCGGTTAAAGCAATGAAAGATGGACAAAAACATCTTAGTTTTGTCAAATCTTGTATAGCGTATAGTGAAGTTACAATCCCTTCTGTTCCATCTCGTGTTAGGCAGTTTATTCTTTATCTTGAAACTGCAGAGGTAATATGTTCTTTCTTTTATGTAATTCATTAATACAACAAACATAAAAGCACATCTGTGCTGATTGTCTTGTTCCTACATGTCAGATTGCTCTATTGGGTGGCTTAGTTTCTCATTCAGATGGACTTCTAGATTCAGCAATTATCTGTCTGCAAACTTTGGATCTGATGGATGGTTAGTTCCTCACTTCTTGTCATTAGACACTAACAGATCAATAATTGCATCAAAATTATTTAATTGGATTTTGAATTAGATGAAGATTTCAGATTGGAATATAGTAAATATGAACAATATTCATTTAGGTTTTTACTAGATGGCCATGTTTACATGATTTTGAAAATGAATGACTTTGATTTAGGTTTTCATAATTTTATTTTGCAAATTAAATCTTAATTATGGTATCTTTATGATTAAAGAAAAGGTGAACTCTGCAACATTTACCCTGGAAAGTTTAAATTATAATTTCTTGATATGTAGTGTTTTAATGTTTGCAATTGTATGAACTAATTTCAGACAATTCTTGTTGGTATAGAAATAAAAAAAATCCCCTCAGCTGATTACAATCTTGAGACAATCTTGTAGAATGGCTTTACAGGCAATGAAGGTTCAAAAGTTTCTTTATAGTTTTCTGTCCTTTTGTTTTGGGGTTCAAAAATTTTCTCATTTGAGCAAACTTGTAGAATTTTATTTTTTTTATTTTTTATTTTTATTTTTTAGAAGGGATAAATTTTAATGATTTTTCTGTGGTATAAAAAACTGATGTGGTAGTGGTGTAGTGGGTTAGGTTTAGTGGAGTAGGTTTAAGTGGGTGAAGTAGGTGGAGAGTAGGTGGATTTTAACAAAAACTACTATAGGATAACACCCAAGCCTTTTAAAAAGCACCTGTGCGTCATGCTGATATATTCTTCATTAACTTCCAACTCAAAGTCTGTTCCCCATTGTAGTTTGAGACTGTGGAACAAGGAAATATATTTTCCTTTGCTTGTCTACTTACCTACCTCCCTTCTTTTCTCTCTAATTAATGAACCAACTGCGCCAGAGAAACTTTCAAATGATTTCCCTTCTCATTTCTTTGTGTATATCCTACCAAATGTGTATGAGTGTTCCATATTAAAGTGAATGATGAATTAACTCGTCTCTTTGTAGGTTCGCGATTACCAAATGAGGTTGATGGGATCCTCTCCTTGATACGAAAGTTGTGCAGCCTCCTGGTTTTGGTTCCAGGTCATTGAATTTTTTTTTAAAAATGTTTCAATTTCCTTGCAAACTGTGTCACAAATGCTATCTATGTTCCAAGTTATTCTGTGCATTCGTTCTAGTAATGTATATGCATTTACAATAATATATATTTGACTTCTTGTGAACAACATATACCTGATTAAAAGAAGAGGTAGTGCTGTTTTGTTTATGGTTAATGCACATGAACTTGCTAACGATGCTTGGATTATGAAACAATCACTTTTTGAGGTGATTGTAGGATAAGGGGACTGCCAACTTTAATGCTGGTTGGGATGGTAAGGAAAGGCATGGTAGCTTGTTCCTTAACTGTTGATATGGCTCTAAACTGTGGAAAGCAAATCCGGATTCATGTAACACATTTCAAATAATTGGGTCTATATTTTGGCTGGTTTAAGTGAGATTGATATGTGGCATGGACAATGGAACTGCAGTGTGTTTGATGTCTCTCTGTATGGGGCAAACTGTTCGTCAGATGCTGGCATTTCAAGTGGTTTTAGTTCATTCAAGGTTTTTATCTTCGACATACAATCTGAAGTTTCAGCATTGTTTGTCAGTTTGCCTCCTTTGCTATCAGCTGTCAATTCTAAATTTAACCCACGTGACAAGGGTAGTAACTGCCAAGATGGATCTATCTATTTTTATAATGTTCGGCAATGCAAATATAAGTTGGAGGAGGTATCCAATGAACTCAATCTTGCTCAATCTACTAATCACCATAGGTTAATGGTGCCATTATTTTAAAATTAAAGTGATTTAGATCCTATTGTAATGAAAGTTGCAACCATGAATTGCTTTATATATCAGAACACGCTTTCTGATTCTGTCCTCTTATACGCTATCTGATGTCGTATTCCCTATTGAAGGTAATCCTGAACGAGGAGTCACTTATATTCCAAGGTGCATGTTGACACTTATTAATTCCCAATCGTGGTAAGCTTTTGCTCCTTCAATTCTAATCTTCGTGCCACATTTATTCATACTAGTTTGATGTTCTAATACAATGGTGCAGGATGACGTCAAGAATGAGGACAATGGTGTTATGTGCAATTGTCTCTTTGGCAGCAACCCTATCTCAATTTAAGCTCCCATACCATGCAAACCATGTAGAGGTACTTGTATAATGTTAGCTCGCCTTTGATGTCGTGGTTTTGCACTTTCAGTCATGAGATTGATATGTTGACCACGTTACTTGTCAAAAGAGAATTATTACCTGACATTGTTAGAAGCTAGATGTAGTATGTCAATGTTCTGTTATATTCTCATTGCTTTTGATATGTTTCTTTTTCTTATACAATCAGATGCTGGGCAATGATCATTTGTTCTTTGGTGATCCAACATATTTGCAAGAGTTTCTGTCATTGTCTGCTCTTATTCTTCAGAACCTTGTCGATTTTATTATGCAGGAGCCTTCCCGGGTAAGTTGGGATTCTCTGACTTATTACTGTTGCATTGATTGACTGATTTAACAACTGTGCTGACTATTAAATATTGGGACAAAGGTTGCTCGTGGAAGCATGGCGCTTGAAGCTTGCAACTGTATAGCATCATCTTTCAATGTAAGTGACCCATCTTTCTTTCTTTCTTCTCTCTCTCTCTCTCTCTTGTTATAAGTGACACATCTATTAGTAGCCTGCTGTTATGCATATAAAGTTTTTATAATACTTCAATCTGAAAAAGGTTTCTTGGGTCATTGAATGAGAATTAAGAGGTTGATGGCAAAGCTATCTCCCTTGCATGGTTGGCACATGACACAGATGTGTACATGGTTTAGCCATCATATCATTTATCATAATAATCTAATTAATTGAACACTCATGGATAGTGCATTAAGAACGAAGGGGCTCTAGCCTAGTTGACTAGCCCTTTGGCCACCAAGTCCCTCTTAAGGGGGAGGTCTTGGGTTCCACTTTTAGGAGTGGAATGGGAGTGCAAGATTTTCTTGCAAGGTGTATGGATGTGAGTTTCAACTCCCCCAAAATGCTAATCTAATAACTAACCACTGACATTCGCCGATCAAGAAAAAAAAAGAGTTTCAACTCCCCCAAAATGCTAATCTAATAACTAACCACTGACATTCGCCGATCAAGAAAAAAAAAAGAAGAGTTTAGTGCATTAAGTACAAAATCAATTTATAGATAAACTATTTCGTCTATTTTTTTTTTTTTTTTTTTGTGAAAGTCAACAAGAAGTTTTATTAAAGAAGAAAGTGAGGAGGACAAGTAGTCCTCATACAATGAACAAGAACCCAATCAAAATAAAAACAACTATCAAAAAAGAAAGAGAAAATAAGAAAATCCAAACACTAGGTGTTGCAAACAGCAAACCAATCCCTAGAAATCAAGAAAAGTGGAACTCTTTTAAACAGAGGAGACACAAAAGCCCAAAATGAAGCCAAAAAACCAGCCCTATCCCACAAAGAATCTACATTAGCCTCTTTTCCAATAAAGATCCTTGAATTCCTTTCTAGCCAAATAATCCAGAAAATAGCACAAACAATACATGACCACAAGGTTTTGGCTTTCTTAGAGCCATCGAACCCATCAAACTTAACAAGAAGTATATGTGTGCAATCCCGTGAAGCAGCCCATTTAACATCACACAAACCAAATAGACGCTGCCATAACTGTATAGCCACCGAACAATGAAGAAAGAGATGATCCGCTGATTCCGAACTCCTCTTGCACATCACACACCATTGAGGGCAAAGATAGTGATTAGGCATTCTCCTTTGGAAAAGGTCATTGGTCATGACACCTCTATGAGCTGAGGACCACATGAAAAACTTCACTTTATGAGGAACACCCGCTTTTTAGATTTTCATATGAAGAGGAAACAAAGGAACGGAGGACTTATCAATGAGATTGTCAAACAAAGATTTACAAGAAAAGACCCCTGAAGAACTGATATTCCACACCCTTTTATCGGGAGATAAAGCTAAGAAAACCCCATCAATCAATGTCAACAAAGATGCCAACTCAAGAGACTCCCTATCACTTAGATTCCTAAGAAAATTGAAATTCCAAGAGATTGGTGCCACATTAGAATATGCCACCGACGCAATTGACACATTTCGTGCATGAACCAATCGATATAATAGCGGAAAAGCTTTGTCAAAAGATGTCTCCCCCACCCAAACATCCTCCCAAAATCGAATATTGGCCCCATCACCCACTTTCATAGACACAAACCGAGACACAATGGGAAACAAACGAGAGATAGACTTTCACGGAGAACGACAATTGCCTCAGCTAACTACAATAGAATCTCTGCCATTAGCCTGAATTCCGTACTTGCTTTTAATAATGGAACACCATAAAGACTCGCTTTCCTCGGAAAATCTCCACAACCATTTGCTCAAGAGGGCAATGTTTCTAGCAACAATGTTCCCAATAGCAAGACTCCCATTACGCCGAGAAAGAGAGACAACCTCCCAACTGACTAAGTGATCCCTCTTACCCTCATCACACCCCTCCCACAGAAAATCTATCAACAATTTCTCAATTTGCCTTGCAAAACAAGCTGGTATCTTGAAAAGGGACAAAAAATAAATAGGAATACAACTCAACACTAATTGTACCAAAGTGTATCTCCCACCCCGAGACAACAATGCTTGCTTCCAACCCTTCAATCTTTTCCCAATCTTAACAAGGACTGGATTCCAAAAGGCCTCTGTTTTAGGATCGCCACCCAATGGGAGCCCTAAATACTTGAGTGTAAAATTTACCTAGCTTTATGGAGTTGTGAAGATAGTTTTTTGCCCTACTGGCCTTCTGTGGGAAAGACTCCATTTTGTTGACCGGTCATATACTACTATTGTTTGTTGCAGCATATATGGCTGGAGTAGATATATTTTTGTGCAGCTTATAACTTTTTTGTTTTTGTTTTTGTTTTTTTCCCTCTGCCAGTGTGCTTGATGTAGTTTTTGCTTTCTACTTGTGAGACAATAGGCTGAGAAAAAGTCAATTGTCAAAAGGCTGGAGAAATGATGCTTTAAACTTCTACTTTTTGATTATTAATTTTAAAATTACAAAATGCTGCATGATTTGGACTTTTTCCAAGATCCGATGTTTGTTGGGTTGACCATGAATTTTTTGTATGAAGCCCCCTATGTGTGATGCAAAATTGAAAATCTTTGGAACTGCCCAAATTTGCATGTGAACTTTTTAGCCGACTATATTATTCTCAAATTTTAAAAGTCTTCATTCACAAGTTGTTTTTCACCTTTACCTCAATGCCACAAAATCTCCATTCAATGTAATTCAAGTAGTGCTTCTCTATAAATATTTCCTCGGAAGCAAAGCATGCATTACGTAGATTGCAGCTTCCCCATCTAGTTTCATGCAAAGAAAACGGCATGGTTATCCTTGACTGAAACACTACCTTATTACTGTCCGTGGTGTGTATTGCTTTCCATCTGTTGCCTATTTATTATCATAATCGCGATTTGGATCATAGGATTTTAGCACAATCCTAAATTGCCAAAATGATCCAAATCATTGTAAAATCAATACTATAGCAGGATTGCAAGTGAGATCGTGTGGAGTTGTGTAGGATCATAGGAGGTGGTGATTTTTCTCCTTTTTTTTATACTCATCATCCCTATTGGTGTTTTTACTTTATTTATATATATATATATTAAGTAGAATCTTATGATCTTCGATCCAATCTCTGAGACCCTCACCCCAATCCCACATAGGATCTCGATGTTAACAACAATGTTGTTGCCTATGTGTTACCCCTGATGCTTTTGTACTCATATGTTGGCAGCCAAGTCATGAAGTGTTGCCGTTCTTCTCGAAGCTGATGGAAACTGCCAAGTCATGTTTGAGCTCCAATGACAAATATTTGCATTCGACCATAAAATGCAATGCCAAATTCTTGCAGACAAGCACTTAGAGGAGTTAGAAGAATGTGAAGTTGGTGGGCAGCTTGAGATTATGTTCATTGTTGCATGCTCTAATAATTTTAGTATTCCATTGTAAATTTGAAACATTCACAAAACTTAAAGAGAAACCAAACGGTTTACGAACCAGTCATCACAACCCCTCCCAAAAACCCAAACAAGCTGTGTATTTTTACAGGGGTGTAGTTTTGTTGGTCTCAGAAAGAGAAATTGGAAGGCATTACATTATTTTTGTACAAATGTACATTCACTATATAAATGCTTGATACGAGGTGAAAAATGGTCGAGTTGATTTTTTGTTTTTATTTTTATAGGCCATGTTTCTTTTAGTTGCTTTAATGGGATTGATTTCTTTCCTTCCCTGGATGTTTTTGTTTTTGATATTATAATCGTTATATCTTTCAGCAGTTGCTCATAAAGTTTCATCCACTTCATAGAAAAAAAAGAAAAAAAAAAGGACTTGCATAAATTCAAAGGATTGAGATTTTAAAATAGATTTGAAACTTTTGAATGCATAGATGTGAATTCATGTGTCCTAATGTACTAAGGGGAAATAACAGTGCAGTGTAGCAGTAAAAAAAAATTTTCCCCTTTTTACTAATTGATATTTTATGAGAGAATTTTTTGGGGAATATGATTCGCCATAAAACAAAGTTTGCTATGAAGTTTAATTTTTACAGACTATAATGTTAGAAACTATTATGTATTAGAGGGTCACTTACAGGATTGTGATTTGGCAGTTCTCATACAGTCGTAGTTCTGGGAAAACATTTTTTGAATGTGAGATAATTTTAGTAAGAACAATGCTAAATATGCCAACTATCAACTTAGAACATCTCCAACAGTAAATTATTTTTTTTATCAAATCTGAGGAAAAAAAAGGCGATTTCCTCAATTTGATACGAGGTGTTCCAACGGTTATACTGTAGCTTACATCAAAAGGCAAGGACGACCGGCCGGTCGACCGGAAAAGGCACTGATTTTTTTTGAATGTGAGATAATTTTAATTTTTCTCATTTCTTTTTTCCTCTATTAAATATTTTTCATTTTTTGTTTGTCTCCAATGATAATTTCCTTCCAAATACTGAGATAAATACATTAATCCATGTACCATATACCAAACAAAAGAAAAGGGGGAAAATCTAAAAGAGATCATGAGTTGAATGGGCATGCATTTCTCTCCTTCCCGAAGCCATTTTCTTGCTCTTTTCTCACTACTTTTTTTGGGGAAATTCAGTTTATCAGTTAGGTTTAGCAAGTAAATGAAGAAATACCCAAATGGGTATTCCAGATATTCTGTGCTGCTCTCAAATTGGGAAAATCTAAGAAGAGATCCTGGTGTAAGAGATCAAAGTGTGCACACAATTAACAGTGTTTTAGTTTTAAAGAGGGGTTTTTTCTTTTCTTTTTCTTTTGATAACCTTTGGAGCTGCTAGAATTGTGCACTCAATTATCAAAAGCTGGTATAGATTCATCTTTAATGTTTAAACCTGACCTCCTAGCTCCCTACAATTACATTCTTCCTGCCCTCCATTGCCTCTGTTTTTGTCATGCTTGATTCATAGTTCATTGAGAGCTGATTTCTTTTTACATCTCACGAAGAGAATATTGTTAAGCTTTCTTCTGTTCTTATTCCCTTCATTATAAGCAGTTTTTTTGGCCCAATCAAGTTTTACAAACTCTTCTTTCTCAGCAGCTGTGCATTTTTTTAATAAACTGATTGATCGGTGAGACAACCGGCCGGACGTCCGGTCAGTTGTCCGGTGGGACCCACCTCCAACATAAATAGTGAAACCTAACCCACCTCCTCAATTTGATAAAAGTTTTGTCCCATTCTCAATTTGATATCATTTTGGTAAAACCGTTGAAGAGATAAAAGTGACCATTTTTCATCAAATTTAAATCTAGTGATGAATTTGATTCACCGTTGGAGATGGTCCTCGGAGGTATTTGAGTTGGGTTTTTAATGACTTTTTAACTTTTTATAAAAATGTATGAAAAAATCTAGAAAATAATGTAACAACTTGTAATAACTTTTTGGCTGAAGTTCCCAAACAAGGCCTTAATATCTCAATAGCATGTAATATAGTAATCCAATTTTGTAAAGAAAAATATTATTTTACTAAGGCTATGTTTGGATCATAGATTTGGATTAGAATTCAGAAAATAAAAAAAAATAAAATTATTTGGATCATAAATTTAGATAGAAATTTATTTAGATTTGTTATCCAAACACAACATAATTTGGGACTAACTTTAAATTAGGTAAAAGAAAAAGTATGAAATGTAATTATATTTTATCACATTTCACAGACTCTTTTCGTTTTCCTTTTTAAATTTCTAGCCAAATCCTTAATCCAAACATAATCATAGTAATTATAAAAAAAACAAAAACAAAAACAAAAAAATTCACATTTTTAAGTTCTACTCGATTATTTGAGTCAGTCAGAACAGATGATGCTAGTATTATTTTAAGAACTTGATAGGAGGTCACTGAAATTGTTATAAACCTCGGCAGATCACTGTAATTTTCAAGAAAAAAAAAAATCAGCATTTTCTGCAACTCTCTGATCATCGCAATACATACATACATATTATCTATCTATACATGCTCTCTAGGGTTTCAATCCAGAATGATCAATTAATCTCTCATGGATCTAGAGTTGATTGGACGCCACGCTCTCCTCTTCGACGACGACGCCACGGCGGCGTTCGTCAACTCCGACGACGCCCTCGTCGAGTGGCACTCTCTCCTCATCGACCGCTACGATGTCCGCCACCTTCTCTCCGCCCCTCCGCCGCTTCGGAAGCGGCGCAACCCTCCTTCTTCCCTCTCTTCAGCTGATTCCGAGCTCGATCACGAACGATACCTCGATCTACCTCCTCCGTCAGAGGAACAAGGTAAATTATCACTTCTTCGTACAGGTTTTTTTTTTTTATTTTTATAATTTGAAGATTTTTCTTCTCTAATCTTATTGTCTCTGTTTGGTTTAACGGATTGATCATATTTTTTCTGAGAAAAAACACGGAAATTATATGTTCAGAGGTGTTTTTTATGGAAGCTAACGAATAGAATCGAAAAGTTTTTTAAAGTTTTTTTTTTTTTTTTTAAATTTGTGACATTTGAGTGGTAATATATGTAGTTGAAGCAAATGGAACAGAAACTTTATTGTTGTGATTGGATTGATGTTGTTTTTATTCTTTATTTGGATTTTTATCTTCGTGTAAAAGTGTATTTTGAATGGCATGGCATGGTCCAGTTATAATTTGGATGGTTGGTAATGAAGAGTATGGAGAAGTAATGACCTGAAAGCCGTATAATTAGAACTTATGAATTGAGTTTCAGGAGTTAAAAGCTTTTAAGATCTCCAATTTATGTGGGATAAGTGGATAGAGGTATGCAAGGATATCATAGTTGGTGCACGTGGCTTGATTATGTGATGATTTAGGAAGCCCCCAACTGTCATAAGCCGGAGTCTGGAGTGGACCAATTCAGGCTGCATTTAATGGTTCTTGTCTCGACTCTCAAGTTTATATGATTTAACCAATCTGATGTTACTCATTGGCATATAGTGGGGGTTGCGGAAACATTAGTAGCTAATATGTGTGAGCAACTTACGAACAAAAACAAGATGTTTTGGCAACAGAACTCCACCAGCAACTTTGTTGGGTAATGAGGGTATTTTGGTGAGGAAGTAGTTGTTGGAGGGGGAAAAACATCAATTTTCAACTCTCCCTTTGACGACCCTAGGCATACCCGGCAATGAAACAACGTTTCTAGTTTGTGATGATAGTATACTTCTTTGCAATACATTTCTGAGTATGCAGGAAGAACATCTACTTTGCTAAGGTTGCGTCTCCCATAGATGAGGAAGATTCTCTTCACCTTACTCTGGTGTTTGTTTTTTGGATCCTTTTTTCTTTATTATGTTGATTTCTTAGTGGTTATATACCTTGTCAAACTGTTACTGCTTAAATTTAATTCAGATCTTTTTCTTTTTGTTTACAGAATCAGATGGACGTGCCAAACGGGGTGATGGAGGTGTTTATAATGCTGTTGCCTTTTCATATGGAAATTATGATGAATCCACTGATCAAAAGAACTCTGATATCGGCCTGGGAGATTCTGTTTTTCATCCACCCTTCCCTGTGCCTGAAAGCTTACTCCAATGCCTAGTAAGTAAATGCTTCTCAGTTTTCTATTACCTTGTGTGTTTTCCTGGCACTTCGATAGTGTTATTTGGTATTTGTTTAGCATACTTACTCCATGTGGCCAAATGATAATTGTAAGGTGTATATGTTATTCTAAGGTTCACTGTGTCCAAGTTTTCAGATGATCGGAGCAGGGATGGAGTTCTTGTGACCTAAGGTCGCCATTCACGGGCACCTTGTTTCCTTTTGATATCATGACAAAGGGCCGTGCAGGTGGGATTAGGAATTGTAGAATTTTGATTACTTTAACTGGAAAAACCCTAACTGCTTGAGAGCAAATTTGATGAAACATATCTTTCATAGAGTTTTGCTGCTTGATCATTATGGTATCCGGATATATGTGAGATTCATATGGTTTATCTTGAAATTATCTTGTAAGATTCCTATTTTATTTTATATTTCTGATTATTATATACTATTTCGTATTACTGAAAAGAAGCCTTTTTTTTGTCTCATATTTTCAGCCTCCAACAGAGAAGCTACATCAGATAATTGCAAGGACTGCTATGTTTGTCAGCAAACATGGTGGCCAGTCAGAAATTGTTCTGAGGGTAAAACAGGGAGACAATCCAACATTTGGCTTCCTGATGCCTGATCATCACCTTCATGCCTACTTTAGGTTTCTTGTTGATCATCAGGAACTTTTACAGTCTGACACTGATGGAAAATCTGAAAATGAGAAGAAAGGCAATACAGAGTATAATCAGATGGATGGTGTTGGGGCCGGGGCTGGGGCTGGGGCATTGTCCTTGCTGGGTTCTGTGTATGGGTCTGGGGAGGATGAGGATGCCTCAGAATCAAAGGTAAATGTCTCTGGGAAAACCTTTGATGCTAGTGGTGCAACAGTTTGTCATGGTTCTGAAAAAACACAACTTTCCGAGAATGTAGATGGAAAAGATGAGGCAGTTGCCAAGCATTTAAGCCCTTCGAAAGAAAAGGTTCAAGTATTGAAAAGGAATTCTTTCAAGAGTGCATCTAAGGCTGGAACTACAAATAGCGTGAAAAAAGGTGATAGTATCAGTTTGATTTCTGCTGCTGTAGACGAGTCACAATCTTCTGCTCTGCCGAATGCGTCAAAGGTTGAGCCATTGGTTTTGGAGCCTCCATCTGATTTAAAGAGATTTGTTGAGAAGATAGTAGAGTTCATTTTGAAAAATGGGAAGCAGTTTGAGGCCGTACTTATTGAACAAGACAGCAAATATGGAAGATTCCCATTCCTTGTCCCATCTAACCAATATCACCCTTACTATGTAAAAGTTCTCCAACAAGCTCAAGAGGTGCTTTTCTTTATTTACTTTACTGTTTATATATGCCTATATTTGCCTGACATTCTTGGGGATAAGGAATGACGTTCAAACCTTACTTTTTGGGCATTAGAAATGATGCTAACGTCTATTTAACACAATTCTTCACTTCAGTTTATGCTACATAAATTATGGCATACCATGTTTTGGTTTTTAAATTACGTCATTCTGTGTTGCATATTATTGATATGAGTCTATTTCTTCCTGAACTCTAGAGAGGATTTTCCTGGCATTGTTTTGTAAAATCATTTACAGCTAAAGATTAATATTCTTGCCCAAGGTTTTAAGGTTTGATTGCATTTAGCAGAACAGGCTGGGCCCAGACAGACTGCTCAAGCAACCTGAGCAACTTGAGCCCAATTTTAAGTACCTAAAAATATGTAAAATCTGTTTGATTTTCTATTAGCCTTAGGACGGTTGCTAGATCAAGTTGTAATTTTAAGATATGTAGCTTCCATCAGACACACTTGGACACTCCCTACACTTTGCCACCTCTGCCTAGCCAGTCCAGTGCAAGTTTACCTCTCTCTCACTCTCTATATCAATGACTGATATGCACACATGATACATTTGTACAAATGATATTATTTACAAATGTGTTGATTGTTAGCCTTGTACAATCAATAATATGCCTTTATTGGTATCATGCAAGTGGGCTTGGATAGTGGGTTTGAAGGTCAGGTTCAGTTGGACCTGGGCAAACTTTGCTAGAGCTCGGGCTGGTCCTGGGCTAGACCCTAGCCTGACAGAACTGACCTGAGTTGCTGCCCTAGAAAATATATCCATTTCTGGCACAGCTAAATCTGGCCGTCCATTCTATTCAGGGCTGTGATGCCCTTTCGTAAAGTAATTTGTGCGTAATGTTATCTATATTGAATCCCTTAAACTTCAGTTCTTATATGCATATTTCTGTGTCTTATTTGATGTGTTAACTTTCTTAAGTGTTATTTGTTGAGTTGCAATATTTCCCTTGTTTCAACTATGTTGATGATGTTTCTGCCTTTTGTTTACAGTTAAAGGTAACTGGCAAGAGCTTTTTTTCTGAGAAGGATGATTCAGTGATGCATAGGCAAGACAAGAAATCTTCCCTATCGAAGGAAAGCGATTCTTTGTCCTTAGGATCTGCTAGTTCTGACATGCCATATGATTCTGACAGGAAAGAGAAGTTTAGGATGGTAATTGGAAAGTCGAAGAAGGATGGACCGGACCCATCTTCCAAAGCCACCCTGCCACAGTTCGGAGTCAGTGTAGATGCAGCTGCAGCAGCGGCTATTCTTCAAGCTGCCACAAGGGGCATTAAGTACCCTAATTTGGGAATCCTTTCAAGCACATCACTGAATGGTGAAAGTCATGGCCGGAACAGCGAAACTGGGCAGCCCTCAAGCTTAGGCACTGACATTTCTTCTCATTTAGAAAATGTCATCCAAAAGTCCGAGCAAAAAGGCGATCAGAGTGTTCTTGTCCCCATTGCCAAGGCTATTGCAAAGACTGCAGCTATTGAAGTCGCAAACGAGGCGGATTCCTCTGAAGCTCACATGACTAGAGAGCAGAAACAGAAGGCTGAAAGGTTAAAGCGAGCAAAAATGTTTGTAGCCATGCTAAAAACCGGAGCTGCACCATACAAATCTGAACCTCTGCGTAGCTTATCAGTAGAACCCCAAGAATCTGGGGTTTCTGGTTCTGGTGATAAGGTTGTTAATCTGTCTGGCAAAGAAAGAGAAGGAAGCTCTGTTCCTTTAGATGTTGATACTATGGATAAAAAGGAGAGATTTGAAAAGAAATATTCTGATGACGAGTACAATGAAAGAAAATCAAGGAGGAAATACCGATCAAGGTCTACGAGGCATGAAGAAGATATAGATGAAGATGAAGAAGAAAAGGATCGTAAGCACTCAAAGAAAGGCAAAGAAGAAGATAAAGAGGACAAGGATCACAGGCATTCTAGGAAGAAGCACCGGCTTTACCATTCTTCGCATGAAGAAGAAGATGATGAAGAAGATGATGAAGATAAAGAGGATAAGGATCACTGGCATTCTAGGAAGAAGCACCGGTCTTATCGTTCTTCACATGAAGAAGAAGATGGAGAAGAAGAAGAAGATGAAGACAAAAGGGATCACAGACACTCTCGGAAAAAACACCGGTCTTATGAAGAAGAAGATGAAGACAAAAGGGATCACAAACACCCTAGGAAAAAACACTGGTCTTATGAAGAAGATGGAGAAGAAGATGATGATGATGATGATGATGAAGATGAAAGGGATCACAAACGTTCTCGGAAAGAGCACCGTTCTTATCATTCATCACGCGAGGTAGAAGTTTCTGAAGAAGAATCGCATCACAACCACTCAAGAAAGAAGCACAGATCTCACCGTTCTTCATGTCACAGTAGGGACAGGCTTGAGCACAAAGAACGACGTTCTTCTTCCAAGAACACAGAATCTCGATACCGGCGCAAGCGTGAGAGCTCGTCTGATGACGATGGCGTTCATTATAGTAGTTCTGATAAGCATAGGAAGATCTCTCACTCAGATGAAGAGCTTGAGGAAGGGGAGATTAGTTCTAAAATCTCAGACCGATCAAGAGGAGGAAGTGTGGGTGGTGGTGTTAGTAGAGAAGCTTCTCTGGATTTATCGAGTTCATATCAAGGCGGGAGAGCTCCTTCTCAACCCTCTGAAGTTACCGAGGTTTCTGATGATCTCAGAGCCAAGATCCGAGCAATGTTGATGGCAAACTTGTAACGGTAAGTTCTACACTGCCTTGTAATGAAAGTCATAATTTTAATTTTGTTTTTGTTTTTGTTTTTATTCTTGTTCTTGTTCTTTTTATTCGGACAAAGTGTTCATAATTTCAACACCGGTGATACTGAGCTAATAGAACTTTTTCCAATTCATCACTAGAGAGCATCAAGTTTTTCTTCTTAGGTGAGGCTTTCAGTAATTAAAATACAGAGTCCAGTTGTGGACCAATCCCCACCCACTTAGTTATCTAAATTGCACATTTTAGTACTCGTTATGTAGATTAAGCATGCAAAAAAAGTAGATTGATCAAATATGAGCAGCTTCATAATTGAATAACATATTTGTATTTATATAAATAAATGTGATATAATCTAATGTTTGATCAATATTATTTTTTTATATAAATAATTCGAAGTGCGCTAAAAAAATTAGGAAAAATTGTCAGTCAATCCAAGTTGATGGGTGGGTTAGTCATTCGGTTCAAGGATTAATCTTATTTGGTGGCAACACACGTTGAAAAGTCGTCCAAAAATCATTGGCGGATGGTGGCAGTGAGTTAAACAGATAGGTGATATTGAACAAATATATGAATAGATAGGTGACACATGTATAGATAATGGGACATTTAAACAAATAGTTAGACAAATAGGTGGCACATTTACAAATATGCATATTTGAATAGATAGCATGTCCTTTCGACTCAGAAAACATTTAAGATTGGACTTATTGGTCCAACAATTTCAAAAATGAACCTTTGACTTAAGTGCTCAAAAAAATATTAAGATTCAAATTATTGATTCATATAAAGCATTCACTTTAGCAAGTAAATATTGGATATAATGGTGATATCACTTGATGGTATTATAAAATAATCTCAATTTACAGTAAAGGTCACAACATTGTTGAATTAGTGAGAGACGGACTTTTCACCTATTTGTAATTTTTTATTAGTCGTAACATCAAGTGGGATAGTACTCAATATTTATTTTTTCACTTTAGCAGTACTTAGCAAATTTTTTTTTTCCCCCTTTTTTTTTATTTTTTTTATTTTTTAAAGGACTCTTTAATCTTCCTATTTATGGGTCACAGCTATGAAAGTAAAAACAAAAGTGGCCCAGAAGGAGCCAATCCTTGGAGGCCCCACTTCATTTTTACACCCGAAAGAGGGAGACTTGTGTGGAAAGCACAGCCTTTACAAATACGACAACAATGGCTTTGCTTGCTGGTTACACTTGCGGATTACTTTCTCACCAAGTTCATATTACTATTATTATAAACATAAAATAATTCTAGGGTAGATTTGAGTCTTATTCTACTTGTTTGCTTTCATTTTTCAAAAAATATTTTTTACAAAATTTTACTTTCTTATTTTTCATATTTTTTTGTTTTTACTGAATTTTTTTAATATTTTGAGTAATTTTTTTACTTTTTAGACACACCAAACATAAAAATATTTAAAAAGTAAAAAAATTGTAAAAAAAATCTTTTAAAAATTCATTAAATACCAAAAATATTAAAAAAAAAATACAATAATTCAATATATTTTTTGTATTTTTATGTATTTATTAATTTTTTAAAATATTTATTTACAAAATTTTTACTTTTTAAATACATCTAAGTAAGGTGCATCTAAAAAAGTTAAAAAAATGTTTAAAATTTTAAAAATATTCACTAAAAATAAAAAAATACAGTCTACAATAGGTTTCTACTCGTCACTTGAGTGCCGACCCTCTCCCTTTGCATTACTCTGCACAACCACATCTCAAAAACAATTGGAATCAACTGAATCATCTAGTGGGTCAATTTGATTACATTGAAGCCTTGTAAGGACACCTTGATTGAATTTTTCTTTTATTACAAAAAGGAAAAGATGTTTAAAGACACTCCAAAACTGCCCAGAAAACCAAAAAGCTTTCTCTAACAATAGGAGGCTAAAAAATATAACCTACGCAACGTTCTAGAAAAAGAAACTCTCACAACCCGAGAGCCTAGGAAACAAGCAAACAAAACAATAACTCTCACAACTCGAGAGGCTATTTTTAGTGATTTTTTAATTTTTTTTTTTACAAAAAAAAGCGTGTAAAGTAGTAGAAAGAATGGGTTTAGATTAAAAGTTAATTTTTTGATTTTTTTGTGTTGTGTCATATCATCTCTTTATTTTTTTATATACTTTTTAAAAAAAATTAAAAATTAATTTTTAACCTACTTTTCAAAATATTTATACATGTAAAAAATGAAACAATTACACCGTATCCTCAATCCAATCCTGACAAGTATTAGCCATGGTTCTGTTTAAGCTAATTACAACTTTATATAGGCACTTAAAAATTACTCACAAATAAAATATATAAACTAACGATTCATTTGTTTGGGTGAAAATTATTTTCTAGCAAAACATATTTTTTATGGAAAATATTTTCCAAATCTATGTTTGGTAGGGGTGTGCATGTGGTGGTGGCAATAATGATAGTGATGGACTAGCGGTAACTATGGTGGTGGTGTTGGTGGTGAGGATGGTAGTGGTAATATGGCAATATTAGTAAAATTTTAGTTCAAAAACTATTTTTAGCCTTTTGAAAGTAGAAAATACCGAAATAAAATTATTTTTTATTGACTATGAAAATTATTTTCTAGTAATTTGTATTTTTTATTGTACCAAACATCAAGTTTTCTTTCAAAATATGTTTCCACTTAAACAAGTGGAGCATAAATTTCCTCCGAGTGTAATCTATATAGGGTTCGTTTGGGAAGTAGGTTAGCTTTTTACCTACTTTAGTCTGAGGTTAAAAAGCCTCGTTTTGGATGAATTTTTTTGACTTTTGTAAGAAAAAGAATGTAATGATTATGAGTTGGTTGTGATATTTTGTCTTATTAAATTAAAAAGTATGTTTTATTTATTTTTTTTGACTATTTTACTCAAAAAAGTTTCAAACCTAACTTTTCAAATGAGCTCGCAATATTAAATTTAAATCAATATTATATAATACTTAATTAAAAAAGAAAAAGCAAAATTCATAAAAAAAAATTAATGTTTGTTTTTTGGCAAGATAGGAGTGGGGCGGTTGTGTTACTGTGAGAATGCTTATCCTTGAGACCTACTTGTCTTTGCCGCGTCCGACTTTGTTGCGTTCTCATTTGATAAATTGCGATATTTTTTTAGCTTGAAAAGAAGCAAACTAATTCTTTAGTTAGTGGGTTTTGCGACATGCGTGATGTTTGAGTCATCTCATGACGTATGCGCTCACCTTCTATGTTTTTGTACCGTAAATTGAAAATATATTCAAGTGTGTTTGACTTGATTGAACTCTGCACTACCCCCAAACAAATTAGGTACAATGTTTAATTTACTTTTTTTTCAACTCGCCGCATCAAACATATGATTAGATATTTTTATTTAATTTACATTTGTTACATGTACTTAGTTTTTAAATATTAGACAAAATATATTTAATTTTTCAACGGTGCTAGGGACCCCAGCGGGGCACCCCCAGCACCCCCAGTTTTTTTTCATTGGTCAATCAATTTTTTTTTTCTTTCCTTCCAATCACCCATATTTTTTTTTTTCTTTCTTTCCAATCACCCACAGCCACGTGGGCTGGGGGTCACTGGGGTCTCCCGCATTAATCTTAATTTTTATGTTTATTATTTTTTTTATCTTTATTGTTGATATGGTATTTTATAAAATTAATAATATTTTGATAAATAACTAAAAATAAAGAGTAGAGTTGGAGTAGTAACATGAAAAAATTGATAGGTAGAATAAAAGTTATATATATTTTATAGCAACTTTTGGATAGGTAAAATATCTAATAGCGTTGGAGATGTTTTAATATATTAACGGTATTTTATTTTACAGATTTATGAAGCAAATTTTATTTATTTTTATTAAAGGAAAATAAAAAAAATGGTATAATTTTATATTTTTTGAGTTATAATTAAAAAAATGTATATATAACCAAACACAAAAAAATTATAATTAAAATTTCAAAATAATGTCATATCGAAATAAGAATATTTATATAAAGCTCTTACAATAAGTGACATATTAAACAAAAATGCTCAGTGTGTTTGATTTTAATTTTGTAGACTTAATTTTCTGAAAATTGAGTCTTTTTTTATTATTTTTGTGTGTTTTTTTTTTTTAGTGAATGTTTTTAAAATTGTAAGTAATTTTTTATTTTTTTTTAGATGCACCATATTTAGATGTATCTAAAATTTAAAAATATTTGTAAAAAAATATTTAAAAAAATATACTTAATTTTTGTATTTTTAGTAGTTAATGAATTTTCTAAAGATTTTTTTCACAAATATTATACTTTTTAAGTATATTTATGTTAGGTGTATCTAAAAATTTAAACAAAAAAATTACTGAAAATATTAAAAAAAAATCAATTTTTTGAAAAATAAATTCTAAAAATTCAAACCAAACCAGTTGATTATTCTAAAAATAAATTCTAAAATCAAATGTGGTAAAACCGTGGTGATGACGCATAAAAGCATGCCAAGTTGCCAACACGTGAGTCAACTCTTTAACATTTGAATCCCAAATATTCATTCTTCCTTTGTGCACACACTGAAAATGTCAAAACTTATGCCCCAATGCTATTTCAATTAGTTTTTTAATTCATAATTTCTCAAATATATAAAACTACAAGTGTTCAATTTTTTATTTTTTATTTTTATTTTAGTTTCATTAATTCTCATGTTTTGTGATTCTTCGCATTTGAGGATCCAT